CAATCGTAAAAATTATGAAAATTGTTCTTGATTTTTGCTTTTGTTTCACAATGAGTAATTTGATATTATTCGTTCGACTATTTGTTTTTCTTACCCCATCAGTTGCCAAGACTACGAATTTGTCTCGTTCGGTGAGCTTTCTGTAAGTGACTTCAGGTGTCGAAATGAGGCCAAAGTCCTTTAGACAGAAATCGCCAAAGGCTCGGGCCATGGCAAGACCTGGACAATCATCATGAGGCATCCAAACACGGTATACATTCGGCTCTTCATCCATGGCTAAGACACGGCCTTCGCAGCTTCTTATTCTCTCTGCTTCCCCTGAAAAAATATTGCAGAGAAAAAAAAATGTTAGGGGCCTATAAAACTATAATAAAATTCTGGGACTTTTTTTCGCGATCTATTTTCATTTCAAGTCACAACACAAGAACAACGGATAAAAATTGAAAAAGGCACTAACTTGGAAGATTTGGCTTGAGATCGACTGTGAGCTGCTCTGAAACGAGCTGATTACTCTCGTCCCTCTTGCCAAGAATCGCACGAGAATCTCCTAAATTTGCAATGATCAAGTGCTCACCCTTCAAGAACATAAAAAAAAAAGACACNGAAAAAGGAAAAAAAAAAAAAAGAATCTTGTCGATAGAATGTACCTACCTTTCTAAGAACACAAACGGACGTCGTGCCACTCGAGTAGCTCTCGACCGAGCCATCTCCCTCGAGCTGCTCGTCGATCTCATGAAAGCACTTGGTCAGTCGGGCTTTCCATGAAAGGAAAAACGGGTTCTTTGACTCGGGACTCTCTTGGCCCGTTTCAGTCTCGATGTCGATAACCGCATTCTTGCCGTCAACACACGGCTGCCGGTACAACTTTGATATTTTCGAGGGCAAAGAGTCACGTACGTAACGGGCCACTTTGTGGCCCGACGGGCCGTGCCCATCAAACACGGCGCATAGGTACATGTCCTTATCCCCTGAAAAGCTCTGTAAAACCAAGACATTATTATCACATTTCATATTGATGGCAAAAATAATCGATCAAAGGAACCATATTTCGTATTTCGATGAAGAAAAGGAAATGAATAGATAAAAATAAAATAAAATAAATAAAATTGTACCTCCCAAACAGTCATGGCATCTTGGTTGATCCCCTTTTTGCCTTGCTGGCTAAACATGGACACGTGTTTAGACGAGCCCTGCAATCGGATTCGCGCACCCGAGTCGCCTCTGAGTATGATGTCATCATCGCCATCATCGTGTTCTCCCGCTGCTCGTCTTTCTTCTTCAACGTAATAACTCACGAAGCTACCACCCCTATGACACGAACAACACGCACCCATTCTTTTTTTTCTATATATATTTGCTATGCTTTTCGGCGTTCTCCGGCACTCGGTTTATCGTGTCAAGGGGTAAAAAACGGATCGATGTCGATGATTGCTGTGTGTATTGTGGGATAAAAGGCATGCATGTTTTTTCATGCAAGATGATGTGTTGCAAACATTTAGAGGGATGAATGTTTTTTTCTGAAAAGGTGTGTATTTTTCTGGGGTTGAATTGGACAAATTTTCAGTTTTGATTAATGGCAGAGGATTAAGAGAAGAAGAGGAAGATTTGAGAAAAGGGGGGGATCATAATTTTTGGTTGACAAAAGGGTTGTTAAGACGCTTGCATGCCACGGTGGCACATGAGCTCTTCACCATTCACCTTTCTTATCTATTTTTCATGCCTTCTCTCTCTCTCTCTCTCTCTCTTGTTTTATTTCTTATTTTTTTACAATTGTGCCTGGATTTTTTGTTTTTAACTTTTATATAGTTTGCTTCTCCTAAATGTATCCATCTTTGAGACACACTTGTTAGTAATTTTGAGGTATTTCAATTTCATGCTTGAGATGGTGTGACCATGAAGAGGATTGACTCGTTATATTTTTACAAATTTGCATATTTGTTTTCATTAAATCTCATACTTTTATTTATATTGTTTTTTATAGTATAAATTTCAGTTTGAAAGTATTGAAAAAGTGTGGCAATAGCTAATACTTACACTATAAAATGTTAATACATTAAGACAAGAAAAATATACAATATTTTTCACTAAAAAAAAAAAAAAGATTGATGATTTGGATCATCTAGTTTTTAGAATGTTGTTATCATTCATCATAATATAATAACTATTTTCTTTCTTCGTTGGGTGGTTTTGGTTTTAGGCCACAATAAATGGCCACTCCAAATATAGCATTATTGCATCTTTTCTTTCTTTATTCCTTTGTACAAATTGTTCTCTTCTGTTCCACGCTTTATTCTAGTTGGAGACTTCAGACTAGTGACTCGTGCCTCAAATTGACAAGTTTGTGAGACTAATATAATTTTCTTATTTCTTAAAATGTGAGACTAATATAATTTTCTTATTATACTTTAAGAAATATATATAAATAGAAATATGATATTTAATAATAATATAATTATAAATTTCTTTCACTAGACTTATGGTTAGGCTAGGTCACATTAGAATTGATGATTTTTTTTATATATATAGTTTTTACTATTTTATTGTTTAATAATGGAAACTAGTCCTAGAGACTTCATTAATTAAGGCAAAATAACAGTTGAACTTCACCATCTTTCTGTATATAATAACTAAAAGGNTCATGAACAGAGGAGTTGGTGATCTATATATATATAATAAGAATTAACATTTACCATAAATAGTAGTAAGAAAAAGTCAACCCACATTTATTATATACTATTTTTAGCAATTTTTTTATTTTACATTTTAATTTTAATTCATTATCAAAAAAATTGGATGGTTCCTAAATTAATGGGTTTTAGATGACGTATCCTGTTTCAAAAATTATAAATAATTTAAAATCGGATGGTTCCTAAATTAATGGTTACAAACTTTTCAAAGTTGTAATCTTTATGACATCTTTTCTTTTTGACTTTTAATAATAAAATCATTTTAAATATATATATTCTAATCTAGAAATTCAATCATGTTATATATATATATATATACCCAATCAATTAATCTTAATTTTTTTTAAATTACTATGTTTATTTTTTATTAATATGCATAAAATAAAAATAAATAATTCATCTTTAGATATATAATTTATAATCTTAATATACTATCATTTGGTGTAGACATATGAATCATAAATTTTTTTTATTTCATAAAAATTAAATATTATATTTAAAGAAAATAATGAAATTACTTTGAATCAATCGGGTGATTGAATTAGGGTACTGCCCACGTTGTGAATTACTTTTAGGTGATATTTAAAATAGTAAAAAAACTTGACATAACTTGGTTGGTCCCAGGTAACTAAGTTATGTATCAGTTTGACCAGACAAAATCGATTATTGAACCTAAATATAATCCAAACTTCAAATAATCATATTAACAATACTTTTACGACAACATGATTAATGATTTATGAATATTTATATATCATTTTATTATTATTTATGTGAACAAAATAATTATTTTATTATCATTTTTATTAATGTACGATAAATATAAGGTTTTCAGAACCAGAACGTCATCGAAACGATCAAGTTATTTATTAAATCATTTGTGGTTGTTCAGATTTTAATACATAATACTTTAATATATATATATATATATATATATATATATTACTTTTTGCAATAAATTTAAATAAAAAGTGTTACTTAAATATCTAAACAATTTATAAATTTAAATTTTTAAACTAATTGATAAACAATTTATAAATCTCTATTTTATTTAAATATGTAATTTTATTTAAAATAATTTTTAATGTAACAAAATTTGTTTAGAAAATCGTATCGATCCTACCAATCCAACATACTGATGTTGACGAATTCGATAGCAAATATTTTATTCAAGCACAATAGACTGGTTATCAACCGGTTCTCGGTCCATCCGGTCGGACTGTGTCCAACCCGGTTTAATTTAAAAATAATGAGTAAATCATGATTAATGTTATTTATTTATTTAATTTATAATACAATCAAAATATTGTTTTCCCGTGCATCGCACGGGCCACACACTAGTTCATGTGAAGAAGTATCTAAAAAGATCTAATGAAGGTACCAAGCTTAGAAATGTCTATATCGTCATACCGATTCATTTTAACAGAATCAACGATGCATTATACGAAAGTCATAATCGAGCTTGTTAAACAATTTAAGGACAAATTTAAATTTTAAACCAATCATCTTGCTTCATAAGGTGTTTGTGCTTTTCCCTATGATCACTTCATACTATCCAGAAACATATCTTGCAAAAAGTTAACAACAACCCAGAATGAACCCAACACAAACATATAAAAGGTTCACAAGCATTCTTAAATCTACGAGCCTTTGATAACTACACTGCACCGAAAAGAGTTTTTTGCCGAACAAGAACTCTTAAATTTTCAACTTCTTTAAAAAGGAAAAGTAAATACAATATGATGTCGCGACATAACCAAAATCAAAAAGGAAAAAAGAGTGTATCCGGAGAGAAGGGCCAAGAACATCATCATCAACATCCGTTTTATCAGATACAGAAGTCCTACGAAATATAACACGCTATTGAAAAGAGGTGTAGATAGCAGAAGTTTTTTACCGGTCACCACCATTGATGCACCAAAACTCCACTTTTTCTCAGCGAGCTGAACAAATCCAGACACTGCCCATACGTTTTCTGGTACTTTGCAGACCTCTCTCCAGGACAGCATTTTTGCCACCTGTTATAATGGCACTCGAGAAAAAGCTCGTCAATCAAGCAAATAGCACCAGTCTCAAACAACTTGGGAATCAAGTCGAATTCGGTCCCTTCAATATCCATCTTCATCACCACATAATCCCTCTCAACCACCGTTTTTTTCAGCCACTCGGCAAAATCAAAACCCTGAATCTCATCAATGTTGTCCGAGGATGTGGAGCCACCCGAGCTCTGAACGGGCTGAATCCGGCCCATCCCACGTCCTTTTTCGACTTCTTTGTGACCCGGGTCCTCGTTAATCTCGAAAAACAAGGACTCATTTTTCACCCAAGCCGCATAGGGTAGCAAAGTAACCCCTTTTTTGTTCTTGTAATCTGGGTAGAAGGTTTTATCAGCCTCAACTGCGTATATCTCGAAACTCTTGTTCTGTTTAGGGTATTGCCTTTTGAACCAGCTCACGATGCTCGAGCCGTAGCTTCTGGCTCCAACATCGACATATATGTATCTCGACTTAAAGCTAATGTCAACCATTGAAGGCAAGTACTTTATGTTCTGGACATTCTTCTTGAGCGTGATCCAGGGCTTCTTCGGCTCTTCGTCTATCAAGGGCTCTGCTTTCTTTATCAGATCCTGTTTATAACCTGGAACAGAACATTTGTTTGTGGATTTTGTACTGCTCGATTTTTCGGTAATCTGTTTTATACCCTCCTCCCCTGTAAATTTTTGCAGGACAATTTCTCGAACGAATGGAGTTTTCGAATCCAACCCGTTGATATCCCTACTTTTTACCAATCTACAGAAATTGAACAAACCAAGTAACGATTCAAAACTGTACGTGTCGTTTGCCGCTGTGTGGACTACCAGAAACCCTTCGGGCTTTAGTGTCCGCTCAACCTCAGCCACAAAATCACCCGGCTTCACTGTCTTCTCCACCACGCCAATTCCACAGAACATGAAATCGAAGGTGTTCCTGCTGAAAGGCTGCATGAAACCCTGCCCCGGGACTACCAGCGGCTTGGAGCCCTTTTTCGAGATTCCGATGGAGTCCTCCACGCCGATCTCCCTCAGAGCAAACACATCTGCTCCGGTCACCGTGTCCACGCACAGGGTCTTGAAGCTAGGGCTCAGGATGGCTTCGGATATCAGATCCTGAAACACCGAGGAGTAGAACTGAACGGACTTCTGAAAACCCTTGGTCGTCCACAGATCGGGAATCTTCTTCGGCGTCGCGGGAGCGGAGTTTCCGGACGAAGAGACGACCGCCGCCGACGAGGGATTCGCCAGCTGGCCCACGCCGGCGACGACGTTGAAAGTCTCCGGCAGGGCGAAGAAGCAGAAATCGCCGACGTCGCACGATTCGCCCCGTATTGTGACCACGTAAGCGAATCTGAGGGCGACGATCAACAAGCAGAGGAGAAATACGCGCACCAGGATATTCCGAAGGAAGCTCGGCTTCCCCCCACCGGACTCCATTAAAGGGCAAGTCAATCAATCAATCAACCAAATTGGAAAAAACGAATTAAAGAATATCTTTTTTTTTTTCTTCGATGTGGTGTATATATAGACAGTATACTATACCTAACCCCAAAACAGCAAAAAGGGCCAAAAGAGAAAACAAATTGGAGCCGAGACAGTTATCGCGAGCAGAAGCGTGCGGAGGTGTGGTTAGCGCCTACTAGGGAACGGGCGGCAGAGGGGCAAGAAAAGGGTAAATTGGAGAGGGGTGGAGGGGCAAAATGGGAAATCATGCTTAGAAATTGGGCTGCGAATATCACTCTTTTATGGGCAAGTAAAATTACTATTCATAGTGTTGATGGCTGTGAATGAATTTTCTCTGCTCGAAAATGTAGTATAAAAGCTGTGTATGAATTTGATTTTTAGGTTTGTGAATGAAAAAGGGCAATTGGTAAAAGCCTAAAAGGAGATAACGCGGAGAAGACGATGACGGGGGGTGGGTGACCGGAGGAGCCGGTTGCGTGTGAGGTAATGGGTAGTGGTCACATGTGGCTGCACCATGAGCTCCGCTCTATTATAAGCAACCTTTTTTTTTCCCTAATTAATTTTGTGGGACGTTTATATTTTGTTTCTTGTATGAAATTGTAAAAAATTGAATTATCTTGAATTATTGTATTTAATTATTTTTATAAAATTGTGAAAATTGAGTTAACTGAATTATTTAGGAGAGATCCTACTCTATCATTATTTTGATTAGGAAGATTTTGGAAAAATTTAACCATATTGTCATTATTCTCAAATAATTAACATATCATTTACAAGAGTAAATAGTCAAATTTAGTCTTACATAATTAACATATGAAGTGTGTTGGGAACAATGGTTGAATTTTTAGAAAAATATATTAATTTATATTTATTATGATATCATTTTAATGATTCAGAAATCAAAAAGTCAATCATATGTATCCTAAGTAATGATCATGTTAGAAGGTACAGCGACATGTAATTATCCTAAAAGAATCAAACTAAAAGTTACCAGTTAATTTGTTAAATAATCTATTGATACTAAAAAATATGGAAAATATCTAAATTTGAAAGAGTTCTTTACATATAAACAACATTGTAATAGATAAGTAACTAGATCTACATAAATATTACATTGTCATTGTAGACTGCTCTAATCAATTTTTATCATTTTACGTAATTGAATTTGACATTGTTCTTCTCTCAATGAATGTTGTTCAAAAATAAAAGGGCGTGCAAGGCTCGACACCAGTTATTAATATAGCATTTTCTTAAACATATTTTTAGGAAAAATGTGATAAACATGATATGAAATCATTTATCTCTATTTTTTTTTTTTTTGTCAAATAATTATCTCTAATTTTTTAATGCACTCTTAAGAGTAATTTTTTGTTTGGTGAGACTATACTAGAAGTCTGAGCGTAGGCATAGAGAATGCTTTTTATGGTTTTATCGAGAACTGAAAATGGAGAAAACTCTAACTTTCCCTTCCGATGTCGATATGGCTCGCGACGATCCAGTTGATCTCACGGCAGATCCACCTGATTGGGGACGGCCCGATTCTGGTGCTCCACATTTTACGATTCTTGGTCTGGTGGATGGGTCCCGCTCGATTAAACGATCCCGTGTGCAGGACGGTCCGGAGGATGGTGAAGGAAAAGGTAATCGCCCGGTGTCACCGAAGGCTGCTGGACAGACGGAGAAACTGAGTTTTAGGGATATGCTTAATCGCAATCGTCCCCATGTCGTGCTCCCAACAAAGGAGGAGGAGGCGGGCAGAGGTTCGGTGGCGGATGTTGTGGTCGATCGCTCTGGGCCATTGCCGGATGTCAAGTTGACGGACTCCTTCTATGAACAACTTTTACTAGCCTGGCGGAATGTGGTGGTGGTGAAGGTGGTGGGCGCGGTACTGCCCCCTCGGCTTCTCTACAGCAAATTGGTGTCTCTTTGGCCGTTCATGAGTGGGTGCGATATGATCGATTTGGAGAATGGGTACTTCCAGGTGCGTTTCAACACTCAGGATGATGTTGTACAGGCTCTTGTTGGTGGGCCATGGGTTCTCTCGAAACAGTACCAGAAGTTCTATCTTCATGTACAGCCGTAGAGTGCGGATTTTGATGCTACCTGTAATCAAATCAAGTCCCTGGTGACGTGGATCCGTCTCCCCGGGATGCCAGTTCATTTGTACCATAATAAGGTGTTCAGGATGATTGGGGAGATAGTGGGTCGTGTGGTTAAAGTTGATCATCAAACCTCTTTTCAAGCTAGGGGTAAGTATGCTCGACTGGCTGTTGTGTTAGACGTTACTAAACAACTGTGTGCGGGGTTCACCATTAGGGGTAAGTTTCAGGGGGTAGAGTATGAGTTTCTTCCGAACATTTGTTTCCATTGTGGTTTCTACGGGCATGTGGAGAAATTGTGCCCTACTCGTAAGTCGAATGGTGTTGGGGCCCAGGAGGAGGGTCAGCCTTACCAGTTCTGGGCGACGGACGACGTGCCTAAGAAGTGTTGGGATGCCATGGCGGATGGACAGGGTGCGGGTGGGCTGTTTGGGCCTTGGCTATTGGCTAAACCAGCCAATCGGGCATCCTCGCGAGCGAGGAACAGCGACTCGAGCTCCGAACGAAGGGCGGCTGCTTCTGGTATGAGGAATAGATCGCGGTTTAGTGTGCTGGGGGATGATTGCGGCGAGGCGGGTCAGAATTCTGGGGACGAGAATGGCGTACCGGGGCAGGGGGCGAACAGTCACGCGGGCTTAATGTCGAGCGATAAAGGAAAATCACGAGGCCCGGAGACAGCATGGCAAACAGTATTTGGCAAGAAGAAAAAGAATAAGATTCATGTTATCATCATACCGGGCTAATGCGGGGGTGTCCTCGGGCGGTCCTAAGCAGACCAGTTCTACCAGTCTTTTTGAGGGTAGAGGTTTGACCCCGGGAGGGAAAAGGTCAGATGTGCTTCAGGGTGCTTCGACGTCGACAGCGGTGAACTTCCCACCGAACCCTCTCCCGGAATTTGTGACGCCAGCGGCTATTACTTTGGACCTGGCTATGCATCAAGTTGTCCATGTGGTGAATCATCCATCCCCATCCAGGTCCAGTGGCGACACGAACCTGTTGGATCCGGGTGATGCGACTATGACGGTAGACACCGAGTCCCCTAGTAGCGGGTTGCAGGCGACGGGGCTCGGAGACCGAGAGGCGCAGGCCCAGAAGATGATGATAGAGACGGATGGCGGGACGCAGGTCCCAAGCTCGGTCTAGACGGGGTCGTTGTCCTATCTCCCCAGAGTCGTTATGAATATAGTTTCGTGGAATGTGCAAGGGGCCGCTTCTGACGAATTTAGGAGGGCCTTTATTACTCTACGACAACAGTATAAACCGGCTGTTTTTGTCTTGTTGGAGCCACGTGGTGTACGTGCTGATAACTTTATCAAACGAAATGTTTATGACCGGTCCTTTTGTATAGAAGCCAATGGCTTCTCAGGGGGTATTTGGGTTTTGTGGAAGTAGGAGGTCCATTTGCAGGTATTGGAGTGTAGCCTTCAACATGTTCATACTCACATTCGGAGTGGTGATCATACGTCGTTAGTGACCTTCATTTATGCTAGCCCGAACCCTTCCATTCGAAGGGCACTATGGGGAACTATTAATAGTCTGGCAGACCGTGTTCTTGAGCCTTGGATTATTGGGGGGGATTTCAACTGCATGCTCCGGGTGTCGGAGAAGCAAGGTGGGTCACTTCGTAATTATAATATAAGCTCGGCATTTGCGGAGTGGCTCTTTAATTACGACCTCCAGGAACTACAGATTGATGGAGACCGAATGACGTGGTTTCGTAATGGGCTAGCCGAAAAGTTAGACAGATAGGTGGGGAACCAGGCCTGGCTCGACAGATTTCCTGATAGTATGGTGAGTCACCTTCCCCGTATACATTCGGACCATACGCCTTTGCTTGTCCGGGCTACTCGCGAGGACCATCGGGGGGGCCCGAAACCCTTCCGATTCCTTGCTGCATGGCTGACTCATGGGGGCTTTGATGATCTGGTGGCCAAAGCATGGTCAGCGGGGAATTCCTTTGAGAGGTCGAGCAGCGGGGGTGGCCGTGTTCCCCATTCCCTGAATAAGACTCTATTGGTCCTTATACCGAAAGTAGCGAACCCGATGTGTTTAAAGCAATTCCGACCTATTAGCCTGTTGAACGTTGTATATAAGGTGGTGACAAAGGTTTTGGCGGAACGAAAGAAGACAGTGTTGCCCCTCCTTATCAACCAAGCGCAGTCGAGTTTTGTGCCCGGCCGGCAAATCACTGATAACATTATTCTGGCTCAGGAGCTTATCCACTCGATGCGTGGGTTGAGAGGGAAACGTGGATTTATGGCGGTGAAGGTTGACTTGGAAAAGGCGTACGACTATCTGAGGTGGGATTTCATCCGGGAGTCCCTGGTGCTTGCGGGATTTTCGGCCTCTTTTGTTGCGGCCGTGATGGCCTATGTTACGTCGGCGACCATGCAGCTGCAGTGGGATGGGGATGTCAGTGAGGAGTTCACTCCAACCCGCGGTGTTCGTCAAGGTGACCCAATTTCACCCTACCTTTTTGTCCTATGTATCGAACGTCTGGCTCATATGATTGATGCTTCGGTGGCGTGTGGGACGTGGAGCCCTCTCGTCGTGGGACACAGCAAAATTCCAGTGTCGTATCTCATGTTTGCTGATGATTTGTTATTGTTCCTGGAGGCCGATCGCTCTCAGGCGGAGGGGCTGCAAGCTACCTTACGTAGCTTCTGTCTGGCATCTGGGTTGAAGGTTAGTGAAGCTAAGACCCAAGTTTTCTTTTCCCCCAATGTGGTGGAGGGAACCCGTGTTGAGCTGGCCCGTCGGTTAGGGTTCCAGGTTGTGGATAATCTGGGGAAGTATTTGGGCATAGCGTTAGTCCATAGCCGAGTGAACAAGAACACATATATGGAAATTATCGAAAAAGCGGCTAGCGGGCTG